AAAATTATTCATGATCTCTCCCAAGGGGAACTGCATTTAACAAGGATCCATGCCTTCAGGCAGTGGTTTCCAACTTGCAGACTTTCTACCTATGGTAGAACGTACAGTAAGTGTGTGGGCAAGTTCATACACAGTTAAATTATGTGTCAGTCAATAAATTTAAATCAATTACTGTCACATGGAATCTACACAATACTAGTTCCTGAGTTTCCCCTCATAAAAAATAATTTTTAAACATTCTAGAACAAAATGATATAATGTCCGGCATTTGCTTTAAAATATCTCAATGGGAGAAAATCACTGGGAAAAACAGATAAAATCAAGTTGGCAAAATACTGACTACTGAAGCTGGGTGATGGGCACATGGGGATTTGTGAAACTATTCTTGCTGCTTTTATGTTGGTTTGAAGATTTTCTTGGTAAAATGTTTTTAAATTATCCATATCGATACTTCTTACATAAGCCAGAAAACTCGAAAAACTCACAGGGAAAAGAATACCACAGGAAAAATAAAAAGTCTCCTTGAATTTCACCAATGATAACCCTTGTTAACGTCAGTTTTGTTTTCAGTTTTGCACACATACACACGCATTTACAAAATATTTTGCCACACGATGATGTAACTGCTTTGTTTTGTAGCTTGAGAATTTAACATTATATTTTTCCCCATCAACAAATATTTGTATTATTCATTGTTCTTTTTTAAAGATTTTGTTTATTTGTCAGAGAGAGAGAGGCAGGCAGGGGGAGAAGTGGGCTCCCTGCTCAGCAGAGAGCCTGATGCAGGACTTGACCCCAGAACCCTGGGATCATGACCTGAGCCAAAGGCCAACGCTCAACTGACTGAGCCATCCAGGCATCCCTGTTGTTTTTTAGAGAGGGAGAGAGGGGTGGGAGGGGATGGGCAGAGGGAGAGGGAGAGAAGGAATCTTTTTTTAAATTTTATTTTTCATTTTTATTATTCTGTTTAGTCAGCCAACATATAGTACATCATTAGTTTTTTTTCCCAGAGTCCAGAGGCTCTCATGGTTTGTCTCCCTCTCTGATTACTTTGCATTCAGTTTTCCTTCCTTTCCCCTGTGGTCCAGAGAATCTTAAGCAGGCTCTATGCCCAGCACATAACCCTGAGATCATGACCTGAGCTCTCTCTGTCTGCAGTGTCCTCTCTTCCCTTCCCTGATCATTATCCCTACGAAACCAACTCCTTCCAGCTCCACCTCAACTGCCACCACCTCAGGAATCTCCCTCATGACCCTCCTAAGCACATTCATTTCTTACCTATCTTCATACACTGTCAGCTCCTCGAGGGTGGGGATGAGTCCTCTCTCTCTCCCCTACAAGTCTGGGCACTAGACTTTGCATTACCCTGGACAAGTAAACAAACAAATGGCCAAGACCAGGTTAATGCTAATAAGCTCAGAGTCTTCCACACTCCCTTGGGAGAACCTGAACTAAATCAGTTCTATCAGCTGTACAAAACATTCGATTAATGGATTCTAGGTTCCTCAAAGCAGTGAGAGAATCTCCCCCAAAGTCAATCCTGAGGCCCAGGGCCTCCTCCAGGCCGACTTGGGAACTGGCTACTCTCACAAATTCCTGATTGCTCTCAAAGAGGTGAGCATCAGCTCTCTACTTGATGACATAAAGGAAGGGAATAATTCCTTTTTAGTTTTTAAGGAAATACAGGCAAAAGCAAAGCACACAGGGCAGGGGCATGCAGTGCTAAGCAGGTGAGGTGGGCTGGTGGGAGAGGGCAGCCAGGCCCAGGGAGGAACAGAAGCATACCCGACATGGAGCCTTGGGGGGTGCAACAGGGAGAAGGCAAGAGGACACACGAAGCCTCCAGACCCCATGCCGCTGACCCCACAGACGAGCTGCCAAGAGGAGCAAAGCCAGAGAAGCCAAGAGGAAGCAGGTTATTTCATCAGCATCCAGCTGGTTAAAAATAACTTCACTTATTAGTTTAAGTGAGATCACCACAGGGCTGGAAATACACTGTCAGTGAAACAAAAATACTGGAAGCAAATGAGAAAAGTCTACTTTCATGATGAGCTTTATTTCAAAAGAGAAACACAGGAAGGAAGCTGCCTGGATATTCCACAGGCTCTGTTTTCCTTCAGGGCTCTTCATGAGGCACATGCCTGCCATTTTTGGAGTTATCACACTTCATTCCTTCCATCTTGCCAGAGAGAAGCAGCAACACAGAGCTAAGTGCCCAGGCATCATCCGGAAAAAGTCAGCCTTAGGGGATGACACTGCCCTGGGGCGAACGCTGGGCCAGACCTCACCTGTGCTGCCGCAGAACCTCAAGGTGCTGCCTGTTCTCAGCTGAGGCCGAGGCGCTACACCTGCCCTCAGCACACAGATTGCCCTTGTTGCCTGTGCTGCCAACAAAGGCTCCACTGAGGAAAAGCAACTGCTCCCTGAGGAGGGAGGAGGGTTGATGGGCTCTTTCAAAAGGATGAAAGGCAGTTCTCCACAGGGACGGCACTCTCCCTGAGACTCTGGGGAATCCATCCTGCTTTTCTAGAATGCTCAAGAGCAAGCAGCCCTCCCACCTTAGTCTCCCTTCATCATGCAGCCCTGAGTCCCCTTCATGGCCCACTGAAGCCTCCTCATAAATCAGGCTGGTAGGACCAAGACTCCAGTCTTCCCCATATGAGCTCCTCCCCACTGACCTGGAGGTGAGGGGAGGCCAGACCAGGCTCAGGCAAACTACTCCGGGAGGCAGGGCTCTAGAGCACTCGGATGCTAATGAGCCACATGCAGGGTCATCGGTCCTCACATAGGTTGACAGCTGTCATGAATCAGCTTCCCTTGTTGGTTCCCATGATTCAGGGTGTTTTTGTTTTTCCTGTTGTTTTTTAGAAGTATGGAGACCATTTTTTGTTGGAGATTTTTCATTTTTACATAATTTCAAAGTTTCAGAAAAATTGTAAGAATAAGATTCACCAATGTATTTTCATTTTGCCCATTTGCTTTACCATTTGTCTCTCTCTCTAGATAGATGGATGATAGAGATACCTATTTATACAGAGACAAATATAGGTATGCATATATACACATGTATAAATACATAGGTATATCTATACCTGTAACTCTTTTCTGAACCATTTGAGAGTAGGTTGTAGATATGATGTCTCCTCGTCCCTAAAACCTTGGTACACATTTCCAAGAACAAAGATATTCGCTCACAGGACTGCAGTACAGTTATTAAGTTATTCTCTAATTCATAATTCATACTCAGATTTTATCAACAATAGCTATTTTTTTCTGGTCCAGGATACAATCCTCGATCACAAATTACATTTTGCATTTTATTGTCAAATGTTTTTAGTCTATTTTAATCTAGAAGAGTCAGTTTGCCTTTCTTATCCTAGATATTTTTTTAAAGTCATTTTGTAAAATGTTTCTCAATTTGAGATTGGCTCATGTTTTCTCCTGAGTAGATCCAAGTTACACATTTTTGGCAGGAATGCCACTGAACTGAAGTTGTGTTCTTCTGATTGCTTTATATCAGAAAGCACATTATATTATTTTGGCAAAAAATTCAACTCTGGAGTCGCTGTCATGGCTTTGAGCTTGGTGCCCTACAGGACGTGAAGGGATGTTGCCAACCTCTGGCTTCATGTCCTACAATTGTGGGCAAAAAGGAGCACATCCTTGCTCTGACACAACCTGTCTGAAGTCCGGTGAGGTGGAAAGTGCAGACTGTCCTGTGGCCCCCAGCACTCTAGCCAACAGCCACCAACTCCCAGCAGCAAGGCCACCTAGCCAGCAGCTGACTGTAGACTCAGGAATGAGCTCAGCCAGGATCAGCAGAAAAACACAACTGCTGATCCAAAAAAACAGTGGACTAAATAAATCGTTGTTTTAAGCTGCTACATTCTGGGGTGGTATGTTACATAGCAAAAGCTAACTGATACCCTTTGTTCACCAGGGAAGGGGAAGACTCAGAAGCCCCGCGTAGTCATTGAAATCACTGAAGAAAGAAGACCATGCTTTTTTCTTCTGGCTCTGTCCTGTCTCTCTCAGGGATCTGAAATTTTGCCTACGTTTGGGATTCAAAGGAGCATCTTAATTTCCTTATGTGGTTTTGAAAAACAAACCATGGATATTGCTTTTGCCAAGCTTTACAGAGCAAAGCCACGTCATTCAGGAGCTCTACTGGACAGATATCAGAAGACTCTCATAACACACTCTTCCAGAGCAATGAGCAAATGAAGCCTTTCTGGGGGAAGACCCTATAGGAGCAGAGAAGCTTGTTAAGTATCTAAGTATCTAGTATCTAAGTATCCAACAAGCACCAGCCAGGGTCTTGGGGTTCACCTGGCTTTCTGATTTCCCAATTCCTCTGACCCCTTCCCAGGAGATTAGGATTTGGTGCCTCTACGATGCAGCCTCAGGGAAGTTTCCTTTTGGGGAAAAAGATTTTTTCCTTGTTCATGTGCTGTCCACCATGAAGAGAGACTGGAGGGCAAGCTGCATCAGCAGCTGTAGCAAATGCTGTCAGGGGTCTGCCCACTCTTACCTAGATACCTTTACCATTTCCCTTCACAGGGGTTCCCGGTGGGTGTCTTTGTGTCCTTGTTGGAGGGTGGCGCTCAGGCTACTGGAACCCTTTGCCAGTACACAGCATAAACCACAAGTGCCTGGGACTTTACATCTGCTGTAGCAGCCCTTAACCAATGACTGACAGGTGCAGTGGTATAAATACCCCTGCTCTCTCCCCTCTGATCAGAAAAACTGGTGACCTACACTGTCTCCAGAGATCTCCTGTAGGACTGAGCCAAGGTCACCCCCACATCACCGCCAATGCAGACTTTGCAGTTTTGTGACACCCCTTGCTCAACTTCCTTTCTCTGCCTACTGCCCCACTGCCCTATTGGCTTTTCTTTGGAAGACTTCTTCATCTCAAGGTTTGCCTCTGGAGAATGCAACTTAAGATGGCGACAACCATGTGCACCCTCCAGAACCTTGACAAAGGCTCTGGCACTGACCTTCATCCTTAATACAAAGGGCACTGTACGTGGCACCAGGAGCTGGGTTGCTTTCAATTCTCACATCAATGGCTCTCATGATTTGCTGTTCATCACTCCCCTTGCTACACACGGTTGTCCTGAAACAAAGAAGACACTGTGTTAGGAGGACTAAGAATAGGAAAAACAGTTCTTTTCTGCGGTTAGTTCTGAATCAGCAGAGATTTTTTCTGAATTGAGATCTTTGACTGAAAGTGTCAGTAGGGAAGTAGTCTTCCCCAACAAATGACTCCAGTCAGGAAGACACAGGTGATACCTCAGTCAAGGCCACATTATCAGTTCAAGTTTCAGAGTAGGTTTGTTTTATTTCACAAAGTGCTGCTCTTCTTCTTAGTTCCTTTCTCTTTGAGGGGGTTTGTTTCTGTTCTTCAGATTTCTTAAAATGGATCATTACTTAGCTCATAAACCTTTAGCCTTTTCTCTGTTCTAACACAAGCATCTAGATGTTTTACATTTCCCTCTAGGTACAGCTTTAGTAGCATCTTATAAGTTTGAGTATGAAGTATCATTCAGTTCTACATACATGCTACTTATATACAAACCATAATTTATTCTTTTCCCATGATTTATTTAGGAATGTCATTGGCAAACAGCAAATAACAGAATTTTAAAAAATCTTTGTTTTCTAAATGGAGCATCTCATCTATTTTAATCTCATTTAATCACAGATCTCTTCTTGAAGTCTGCCATCTTTCTATTAGTTCTGCACATTCTTTCTTTCTCTCTTTTCTTTCCCCTATTTTGATTGTTTGAATCTTTTTTGGGCATTCTTTTTTTCATATTGGTCTGAAAGTTATATATCCTTTTACTATCCTTTTAGTGGTTATGACTTATTAATATTTAATATTACTTTTACCCCTTTCTCCAATAATACAACTTAAAAATACTTAAAATATACTATGTATTAGTATACTTAAAATACTACCTGACCTATGTGCCATTTTTTAGTGTTTAGTATTATTATTACTGCTTTATACAATTACATAATTTCATTTTACCCCCATATTTACTCTTGCCATTGATTTCTTTTTTTGCATCTCCAGCCTTCCACCTGAAATTATTTTTCTCCTGCATGAAGATTAACCTTTAGTGTTTCTTTTAGTGCAGGTCTGATATAATGGATTTTCTCACCTTTTGTCTGTCTGAAAATGTCTTTATTTAACTTTTATTCCAAGAAGATATTCTCACTGGGTATAAAACTCTGGATTGATAAAAACTTTCTTGCAGCACTTCGAAAGTAACATTCAGTTGTTTTGGGGCTTTCATTGTCCATTTATTGTTGCTCCTTGGAAGGTACTTGTTATTACTTTTAATATTTTTCCTTTGTATTTGATTCTTAGCAGTTTCACCATGATGTGCCAAGCTTGAATTTATTTGTCCTACTCAGGTTTGGTAGGGCTTCTTAAATCTGTGCCTGGATATAAGTCTCATATTGCTTTTGCTCCTTCTTTCAGAATTCCAATTACATGCATCTCTTCCTTTGACCCTTTCTTCTGTATTTTCATCCTTTTTTCCTTCTGTTCTTTATTCTGGATACTTCCTCTGAAATATCTTCTAGTTCATTAATTTCTTCTTTGGCTCTTTTTACATCAGCTGTTAGATCCATCCATTATGCTCTTAATTTGAGTTATTGTGTTTCACTTCTAGGGTTTCCATTTGGTTATTTTCATAGTTTCAGCCTTTTTCCAAAATTCTCCTTCTTGTCTTCTGAATCTTTGAACATTTGAAAAAGTTATTTGAAGTCTGCCTCTACCAATGCAAATATTTAGAGTTTCTACTTGCTGTCTTTATTCTGGTTGCCTTATCTCCTATGTGACTGGTTATTTTATATTGTGGGACAAATCCTATATTTTCTAAAATTGTTTGTGGAAATAAATTGCTAGGATAATGTTATTCCCTTCTAGAGTGGATTTTTAAAATCAGTTCTGCTAGCTATCAGAAACACTGGAACTCCAGTATCATCCAGCCACATTCATGGCTCCAGAGAATTTTAAGCTATACTGTGGCTACTATGAGGGCTTGTATGCTTCTTCCAATTTACTTGTACTCCTGGGTTATAGCCCTGTAAAGTCCCAGCCCAAACCAAAGGACTCTGCAGGCCTGCCTACACAAAACCTGAATTCAAATCTCTGTCCTAATCCTCTGAGGCTATCTAAATTGCTACTGTTTTTCAGCCATCCTTTATGGAATCTGCAAAAGCTTCTAGGAGACAATTGGTTTCCAATTCTGTGTTCACCACTCTAGGCCTCCATCTTCCTCTGGATTTATGAGTACCCTCAACATAAATTCATGGACATAAAGATCAGATCTACTATAGGTATACTATGCCATCAATTGCAAGATGCACCAGGCATTTAAATAATTGATTTTCAGTGTGGAGGGGGATGGCTGTATAGGAAATACCCACAGTGAAATGTATATACCGATGATCAGATACTTCTTGGTTCCAGAAACAATAAAATACTTTTATTTTTAGTATTAATATGTTGTATAGTAAATATATCAAACAAGTATGTTTGCTACAAAGAAATATCATCTCAGCAATGTATAGATCTACTAATAATGTCCTAACACTTTACAGCAAACCTTTCCAAAGACCCAGTCCTGATTTGTAATGCCCGGAAGATGGGTAGTCTGGCTCCAAACTGGCTCTTCAGAATTCCCAAAAACCCTGGTTATCTGATGCAATGATAATAACAGAGTTATGAAAAATATCTACACCATGGAAACATTTGACTACACCATGGAAACATGTGCATGTAGGACCTGTTTTTTCTGTTTAGGAACCTGGATGTAAAATGTCCAGCAGACAGGGCCACAGTTTCAGAGTCACTGAAAAGCTTTGGAGGTAGCCTCGCTGTCCTTTTTATTCAACTGCTGCTTCACATGTGGCACAACTGGAGTTGTACGTCAGCCTGGTTGTGTGTGTTTTCTATGGCCATCTGCCAACCCATCTTCAAGGTTATTATCAGCCAAAGTAGTTGTTGGAGTCCATTTAGCTCTTTCACATTCCTGTGGCATGAAGGAGACAGTGGAATGGCTCCTGCCTTTTCTGAGTATAACTAAAGAAGCAGTTAGCAGAACAAATGGGCAGTTTTCTCCTAGCTGGCCACAAGAATTATTTCTCCACAAGGATTCCTTGGGTCAGGAATTCAGACAGGGCACGATGCGAATGGCTTGTCTCTGCTCTCTAGTGTCTGGTCTCAGGCCTGAGCTGGGAAGACTCACAGACTGGCAGGAACTTGACAGCTGGGGGCGGGAATCATGCCAAGGCACCCTCATTCACATTTCTGGCAGTTAATGCTGGCTATGAGCTGGACACCACTGGGGGCTGTCTGTGGGTACACCTATGTGAGGCATCTTCCTGTAGCCTGGGCTTCCTCACAGCGTGGCCCACTCAGGATAGGCAGACGTCTTACATGACGTCTCAAAAGTGACCGTCCCAGAAATCTGGGCAGAGATTTTTTCCAACCTAACCTCAGAAGTCACATGGTCTCGCTCCTGCTGTATTTTGTCAGTCAAGGTGATACTCTGCTGTCCCTGTTTCAAAGGGAGAGGACACACACCCCGCTTTTCAATGGGAGTAAGGGGAAAGAATTTGTGGCCATACCACCCTCCTATTCATATGTTTGTAGACGAATAGCCACAGAGAAAAAGAGATAATTATACCAGTTAAGAGTCAGTACCTTTGAGGTGCGGAAAAAGAGAAAAGAGAAAAAAAAACTTGGTACTTGACACATACCTGTATTACTTGAAATTCTTTACAAGCATGTATTATTTTTAACTTAAAAAGGAAATTCAAAATAACAAAGGGGGGAAAACTGTGACAGAACTCCTCAAAAATATTTTTATTTGAGAACTCAAAACAAGAATGTGCTGGAAGCTACTGCCCGTTGCACTTTGCCTATCCTGGCACCTCAATAAAATAATGACTGAGCTCCCATATCAGCCTTGGTGGAGTAGCGGGGGTGAATGGGAAGGAGAACAGGAAGGACGCCTCCCCGTCCACACCTGACTTACCCCAGGGTGCCATCTGCCAGCCAGCCGGTGGTGCACACAGCAAAGGCACAGTCCTGGACCACCGTCCGCAGCTCTTCCGCAGACACCAGGTGAGCGCCCCTGCTCTTGCAGGAAAGCTGAGCCACCTCCAGTTCGAGGCCCTGAGAGCCATTCTGAGACTCCAGCACAAAAAGCTTCCCTGTGTGGGGACAAGAACAAACACAGGCTTTCTCCAGGATTCACGGGAGTTTAACCTCAGGCAACTCACTCTCTGGCAGACACCTGTCAGAACTAGAGTTTTCCATTTGCCTGAACACCTGAGGGCAGCAGCTATCCTTTGCACTCATCCTGGGGACTAGGTGATAACAATTACGTTGGTGGGGTTTTTGTTTTTGTTTTTAGTAGGCTCCATGGCCAACATGGGGCTTGAACTCAGTACCCTGAGATCAAAAGTTGCAGGTTCTACAGACTGAACCAGCCAGGCGCACCTTACTTTGGTGTTTCAATCTGTTTTTTGCTCCTGTGTTCTTTAAAAAAAAAAAAAAAAAGTTAACTCTGCTCTGTTCTGGCATGTTTACCTGGATAAACCCCTCAAATCTTCCTTTCTACAAGCTATTTTACAAATACCACGTGGTAAGGCTCAGTGTCCTCCGTTCGCCTGAGTTGGGTCAGTTGGTGTCCGGAGCACTGATTTAAATCTCAGCTCTCCCTTCTTCTGCCTGCCTCAGCCCAAGGGTGACCCCACACACAGCTCTCCCCATTCCCTGCTGTCTTATTGTCTCAGGACACTACCAGGCCCTTCTCACAACGAGTTTCCCTGTGTTTGCTGCCATTTCTCTTGAACTAGACAAGGTAGCAGATGCTATGCCTGGTGCACCTTGGCTCCCTGCAGCACGTGGGCATATAGTGGGCCTCAAAAGACGTGTGGCAGATGAGCTCAATGGGAACATTAATTCAGGCAGAGGTGGAAGCTGAGGCTGAAAGCAAAAGAGAGCTTTAGGCAAGAAAACCATGGAGGAGGATGGGAGCAATGCAGTCCCTAGGAGCTTCCTGTAGAGGTGAAGCAATGCCTTAGATAACCTGATCAAGTTTAATGTGGGGACATGGGCACCTGGGTGGCTCAGTGGGTTAAAGCCTCTGCCTTTGGCTCAGGTCATGACCCTGGAGTCCTGGGATTGAGCCCCGCCTCGGACTCTTTCCTCGGCAGGGAGCCTGCTTCCCCCTCTCTCTCTGCCTGTTTCTGCCTACTTGTGATCTCTGTCTGTCAAATAAATAAATAAAAATCTTAAAAAAAAAAAAAAAAGGCAGGGGATAAAAACACCCAGTTAGAATGAGACACTTCTATTAGCAAAATTCTCATAATATACTGATTTTATTAGAATGAGAGGGAAATTGGAAGGGGAGGTGAACCATGAGAGACTATGGACTCTGAAGAACAACCTGAGGGTTTTGAAGGGGTGGGGGCGGTGGGAGGTTGGGGGAACCAGGTGGTGGGTATTGGAGAGGGCATGTATTGCATGGAGCACTGGGTGTGGTGCAAAAACAATGAATACTGTTACACTGAAAATAAATTACAAAAAAAAAGAATGAGACACTTTAACTGTTATCAACTGCAAAGTAACTATAACAAATATAACAATCCCTTAGCTTTGGAACCAAAGTTATGAGAAAAATGCAAAAATGTTTCACAATAAACATATCTGTAGGTGACTGGTCCTCCCTCAGACTTGGTACCAGTGTGCAGTACACAACCTGAACAACCATACTTGATGACCCTGCCTGGAGAAGCATGTGCCCCAAGACACTTTTTTTTTTTAAAGATTTTATTTATTTATTTGACAGACAGAGATCACAAGCAGGCAGAGAAGCAGGCAGAGAGAGAGGAGGAAGCAGGCTCCCTGCTGAGCAGAGAGCCCGATGTGGGGCTTGATCCCTGGACCCTGGGATCATGACCTGAGCCAAAGGCAGAGGCCTTAACCCACTGAGCCACCCAGGTGCCCCCCAAGACACTTTTGTATTAATGGCATTTGCTTCTGGAAAAAAATTTTTGAAATTTAACTGAGGTGATGATGACCAAGCCCCTGAGCAAGGGGGCTAAAAGAGAAAACCCAGGACTCACAGGGTAGGGAATGTGATAGACCTCCTCCCCACTGCATACCATCTCATGCACACATTGATACGCAAAGCTTGGACCCTGAAGGGTTAAACTCTCAGGATAAGAGTGAACAAGGATAAACAACGTTCCCTCCCCTCATTCTCAGGGGACTGTTGGAAGAATTGTCTTGGTGCTAGGAACCCAAGTGCTAATCCTCATTGGGAACTGCAGTCCTAACAAAAACTGGTCTCTAAAATACTTTAAGCTGTTATTTAGCTTAAAGTGACATGATATTGACATTTATCTAGACACCTGGTAGGAGCAAACATAAATCTTGTCTAGAGAAAAAAATATTTTCATCTTATGTTTCAGGAAATCCCATGCAAATATTTTTTCAAAGACAATGACAAAGATAGTAAAATACAACTAAGTGTGTAGGAGACAAGGCACCACTAGTAAGAAGCAACATATATAACATTCAGCAGACACTGACCCAAAGAGAAATCTGATACTGGTATTGATAGGCATATATTATAAAACAGTGATGATTACTATACTTAAAGGAATAAAAGACAAGTCTGAAAATACCTGCAAAGAATAGAAACCTGTAAAAAGTGGCTTGGCTGATCCAAAAAAGGATCAGATAGGACTTCTAGAAATTAAAGATACAGTGATAAATTAAAACTGCAATGGGTGTTTTTGGCTACATATCAGACACAATTGAACAAAGAACTTATCCTTGAAACAGAAATCAGAAGAAATCATCCAAAATGTAGTAAAGAGTTTAAAAAGATAGAAAATAATAAGATAATAAAGAGACATGGAAGAGAGAATAAGATTCCAGAAAGAAACCTTCACATTTACAGGCAACTGATTTTCAACAAGGGTGTCAAGACTATCCGATGGGAAAAGAAGAGTCTTCTCAAGAAATGGGGCTGGGACAACTGTATGGACACATGCAAAAGTGTGACATCGGACTCCTGCCTCACTCCCCACACGATAGCTAACTCAAAGAGAATCAAAGACCTAAATGGAAGAGCTAAAACTGTAACACCTACAAGAAAACATAGGAAATCTTTGTCATCTTGGATTATGCAGTGATTTCTTAGATAGAACAGTAAAAGCCCAAACAATCAAAGAGAAAATACATAAATTGAACTTCATCAAAATTTAAAACTATTTGCTTCAGAGGACAAAATCTATAACGCAAAGTGAAAAGACAACCCACAGAATGAAAGAAAATTTCTGCAAATATACATCAAATAAGAAACTTGAATATAGAGGGGGTGAAGAACTCCAACAACTCAACAACAGTTAAAGAAACCAAACAACCTCACTGAAAATGGGCAAAGGACTTGAAAAGATGTTTCTCCAAAGACGTTTCACAAACTTGAAAATCAATGCTCAACAGCACTAACCATTAGGGAAATGCAAATCAAAGCTACAATTAAATACCATTTCATACCCATTAGGATGGCTATTAATAAAAAAAGAAACAACAGAAAATAACAAGTATTGGCGGAAATGTAGAGAAAAATTGGAACTATAATGCACTGCTGGTGGGATTATAAAATAGTGCAGCTGCTGTGGAAAATAGTATGGTGATTCCTCAAAAAACTAAACGTGGAATTACCATGTGATCCAGCAATTCTACTTCTGGGTATATGCCCAAAGAAATAAAAGCAGGCACTTGAATGATATTCATACAAATTCACAGCAGTAGTATTCAATGACTATGGGCAGAAGCAACAAAAGTGTCCATCAACAGATGAATGGATAAACAAAATGTGGTGTGTATATATCTGTGTATATATATATATATATGTATATGTATATATATGTGTATATATATATGTAAACAAACATACACACACAATAGAATATTAATCAGCCTTAAAAAGAAGAAACATTTGATACAACATGGATAAATCTTGAAGACATTATATTAAGTGAAATAAATCAGTCAAATTACAGAGACAGAAAATAGAATGGGAGTTACCAGGGCTGGGGTGGGGAGGAAAGAGAACTAATGCTTAATGGGGACAGAGTTGCAGCTGGCAAAGATGAAAAAGTTCTGGAGATGAGTGGTGGTGATGCTTGTACAACAATGTGAATATACTTAATGCCCCAGAACTATATATTTAAGAAGGGGTAAAATGGTATTTAAAAAATGGGCAGGGGCGCCTGGGTGGCTCAGTGGGTTAAAGCCTCTGCCTTTGGCTCAGGTCATGGTCCCAGGGTCTTGGGATCGAGCCCCGCATCAGGCTCTCTGCTCAGCAGGGAACGTGCTTCCCTCCCTCTCTCTCTGCCTTCCTCTCTGCCTACTTGTCATCTCTGTCTGTCAAATAAATAAATAAAATCTTAAAAAAATAAAAATAAATTAAAAATGGGCAAAGGATCTGAACAGACACCTTTTTAAAAAAGATTTTGTTCATTTATTTGAGAAAGACAAAGAGCACGAGCAGCAGGGGACAAAGGGAGAGGGAAAGGGAGAAGCAGTTTCCCTGCCGAGCAGGGAGACCCACACATGGCTCCATCCCAGGACCCGGGGATCATGACCTGAGCCAAAGGCAAACACCCAAGTGACTGAGCCACCCAGGCGCCCCTGAACAGACATCTTTAAAGAAATGGCCAATCAGCACATGAAAAGATGTTCAACATTATTAGCCAACAGAAAAACATAAATCAAAACCCCGAGATATTACTTCATGCCCACAAGGATGGCTATCATCAAAAAGACATATTTTGACAAAAATGATGGTGAGGATGTAGAAAAAGTGGAACCTTCAAACACTGCTGGTGGAAATGTAAAAGAATGTAGCTGCTTTGGAAAACAGTCTAGAAATTTCTTAGTTAATAGCAATTTCTCATAGAGTTATCATATGACCCAGTAATCACACTCTCAGGTGAATACCCAAGAGAACTAAAAACATACGTTTATATAAAAACTTCTATATGAATGTTCATAGCAGAATTATGTGTAATAAATAATAAATTGAGTTCATAATTGTAAAATTGTGTTTATAACAGCCAAAAAGTAGAATCCACTCAATGACCATCAACTGATGAATGGATCAATAAAGTACGGTATGAATATCCAAACA